TATAATTTTCAATAATTCTGTCCTCAGGTGGTGAAGAACAACTTGAATCCAACATGGAAACCCTTCCGAATCCCCCTGCAGTCCCTCTGTGGAGGAGACATGGACAAACCTATAAAAGTAACCAGAATACCTTTTCATCATATTTGTAACTACTTGCACATTTGTGCAACATGTGTTTGAATGGCCCCTTACACCTGCAGCTGCATGGCCTGTTTCTGACACCAGTGGCACTGTGTAAATTCATGGTCATGACATAAACCTTTCTTAAGGGTGTAAATAGTTTTCAGAGCAAAGTGATGTTCAGTGCTAGTTTTATGATATATATTTTTTTTAACTTCTGAAGCGAACATGTCAGGAAGGAAGCTGTTTCCAACCGTACAGTACAAGTGAGTTACCCAGCGCGTTGCAGTGTCTATTTTTCATCTTACCATCACTTAATGGGTGAAGTGTGTGAATGGGATGGGAAGACGCCACCTCGGCAGAGTCTCCGGCTCTCTCAAGTTTCCTTCATCCAACTCGATTCTACCATGAAAACACATTTGTCTGGAACTACAAACTTCTTCTTTGTTAGTCATTTTACTGTTCGCGTCTGTCAAGTATACTCGTATTACAAAGACACGTGTTTTGAATCTCACTCTTGCATGGTTTTTTTTCTTCTATGTTCTACACCTCCATTTTTTTTCAATTCCCATAAAGGCTCAGTTCACTGAAATGACCCCCCCAAAAAAACCTTCTCTCACCACTTTTGGTGTCTGGCCTTACAGACAGTTTTGGTTTTATCTGCCCATATTTAGAATCTACTGTGGCACTTTGGGTAATGCACAGATCTCGCTGTGAACACATTAGAAAGGAACTGCTCCTTTTTTAAAAGCGTCTCACAGTGAGCTCTGGGTTATTTGTTTTTGTGGTCTGGGTGAACTGCCCCTTTAGTGGTATTTATGTTTCTATGTGAAAGATTTAACAGTTTTCTGGTTTGGCACATCACTGTGTGTTTCTATGTGTTTTCAGGTCGAGTGTTACGACTATGACAACGATGGCTCACATGATCTAATTGGAGTATTTGAGACCACAATGACACGCCTCAAAGAAGCATCACGAACATCTCCGGTATGTGTTTGTTTGTGTTTACATTGTTTGGTTGTAACAACCATCAAATGCTATTGGAACAGCGTCAACCCATTTGAAGCTGCTCATTCTACTTGTAGCTTATGTTGTAATTAAATTGGGTTTCGGTGATGTCAATACTAATTTAGTTTTTATGGTCTTCTGACATTGACGTGGACATCCATGCTGTTTTTTTTTTTGTTGTCCTCAGGCAGAGTTTGAATGTGTCAACAGTAAAAAGAAACAGAAGAAGAAAGGCTACAAGAACTCTGGGGTTGTGGGCGTGAAGCTGTGCCAGGTGCAGTACTGTTTCACTGAATGTGTTCACCTTGGATTTCATACATAGATTTGAGATGACATGTTCTGCAATACTGTGTTTTAGGTGGTGAAGGAGTATACCTTCCTGGATTATATCATGGGTGGCTGTCAGCTCAACTTCACTGTAAGTTTTGGCTTCTCTATTAATGCCTGTTTTCATTCATTTGTATTCTTGGGTTACTAATGATATCTGTGTCTGTTGTGTATCTGTTCCTGCATTACCTGCGTGTCTGCCCGCTCCCTCAATGTCTTGCCAGGTGGCCATTGACTTCACAGGCTCCAACGGGGATCCCAAATCTCCTCAGTCTCTGCATTACATCAGTCCTCAGGGTGTCAACGAGTACCTCTCTGCTATCTGGTCTGTTGGCAATGTCATCCAGGACTATGACAGGTATGAGACATAAAACACTGTCTAGTACATTCAAAACTTCAATATTGCGCAGATCATGGCATTTTTCATCTGATCGGTATCGGCTATGTTCAACTTTATTGGTCCGATCTTTGGTTTTACATCCGCTGTGATACAGCTGTCATACGAAGCTTTCATGTACGGTGCAGCCATCGTCAACTCTCTCGCTCTCTCCTTTCCTCCACTCTGCTCTGTGTGAGAGAGCAGGAGTAGCCCCGCCCGCTGCATGGGCAAAACGGGACATCCCTACTTCATATGCAGTATCAGCATTTGTGCAAATTAGTTCCAACTTTCTCAAGAAATAGCCCTTCACCAGTGTTCCCTGTTAGTTGTATACAAACCTTTTTCTAACCTTCTGAGATGTCCTGATGACAGGACAGAAGCATATATGAACATAAGCCCTATCCAACTGTATGGTGAAAGTATCAGTGTATTTGTGACAAATAATTTGCATTTAAATGACAAAATATTGTGTCACTTATGTTCTAGTGTTGTTTGTCCCTTCTGTGTAGTGACAAGATGTTTCCTGCCTTTGGCTTTGGAGCCCAGATCCCTCCCACATGGCAGGTAAGATTGTATTTACATGTAAAACTACAAATCCATGCAAAAAGAGAGCGCTGCTGTTTGCATTGAGTTTGTCAGGTGGAAAAGCTCGGGACAGGATATCTGATGGAATTGTGTTTTACTTAACAGGTTTCCCATGAGTTTCCTCTGAATTTCAATCCAGCAAATCCATTTTGTGCAGGTTTGTTTGAAAATCTGTCTAAATGTATCTATGGTGCAATGATTTTTAAGGCTGGTTGAAACTGATGTTTATTATTTATTGAACATATGCCACTTAATATAAAGTAGGACTCACTGTGCTGTGTGTGTGTAGGTGTTGAAGGTGTGGTGGAGGCCTACAGGGTATGTCTGCCCCAGGTCAAACTCTACGGTCCCACCAACTTCTCCCCCATCATCAACCATGTCGCCTGCTTTGCTAAACAAGCCGTCCAGCAGACCACTGCATCAGTGAGTATTTATCTGTTCAGCCATCACCATTAATATGACTGTAGCCTCTCACAGCCCTGCATGCACAGAAACTCTCCATATTTAGCAGAAGTTCTCCATCAATTCATTGCAGTTCATCAGTATTAGTCTGAAACACTCCATATTCAGGAGTCATTATTACTCTTGCAGTGAACGTTTGGTTGTGTCAGATTGGAAAGAAAGCCTGTCAGTGCTCATTTCCTAATTCTTTATGCGTAATTTGTACAATGGAGCAGGATGATGTCATAATAGCTTGATCCAGAGCAGCAGGAGTTCCAGGATAATAACACAGCAATTGCCTGTTTAAGCTATTTTCAGATGCCAGGCTCATAGTTATTAGATTTATACGCCCAGGAGAGGTGGTACATTGCAATAGTGTTGAATAGCTGGATATATCTGGTAGGTATAATTAACTTAATGCCAGTGTGGAATGAAATAACCATCAAAATATTTACACTATTGGTACGACTCACTTTCTTGCAGTCCAGGTGTCTCATTGCTCTAATTGCAGGTGAACGATGCCCATTGGAAGCAGCCAGTTAAGAATGAGGCTTAAATGAATTTGAGAAGAAAAACTAACACATACATTATGATTTAAAATCCACTCAAATACACCTTGATCATGTCGGATTACAAAGTACGCAGCATTTGGGCTTATCAAAACTTGCAAACAGTTCAGGCATTTGATTATTGATCTGCTGTCTCTGTTGTTGATGTATTCCCAAAGCAATACTTCGTTCTGCTCATCATCACTGACGGAGTGATCACAGACATGGATCAGACACGCAGTGCCAATCGTCAACGCCTCCCCGTCTGCCATGTCCATCATCATTGTCGGAGTAGGGGGGCCAGACTCAGCGCCATGGATTTCCTGGATGGAGACGACGGATCCTGCGCTCTCTGACTGCGAAGCCGCCATGACGAGACATCCGTCCAGTTTGTGCCATGTCAGCAGTTCCAAAAATGTAAGTCTGAAAATATTAAGCAATTATTTTATTTTACTCCCCCCCAAAATTTTGGGGGCCCCCTTTAAATGTGAATTGTGTTTGCTGTGATTTCAACTCAAGCCATTGCATTAAAAGCCTGCATGCATTTCAAGCTTTCTTTTTTTCCCTAAAACATTTACCTGCGTCATTTCAGATTTAACTGGCTTCAAAAATTACACATCCAAAATATGGTATATTAGTGTCCCTATCCAGTACCCAAATTCCCAGCCCCTCGACTCACTGGCTTAACTTGTGTCCTGTGTATTTATCTCTTTTCAGGCGCCCAGCCCAGCTCTTGCCCAAAGCGTATTGGCCGAGTTATCAGCCAATGGCCTCCTTCCTTCAGTTTATTCAAACTGAAGCCTCCCCACGATCCAGTCCTTCATAGGGGTACCCAGATATTTCAGTCGAAAACCCCACCCCCCATCCTAGCCTTTGCTTGCTGCCTGAATCACTGCATGAATACGGCATTGTTTGCTCCCTGATGTTTTCCGTTCCCAACTTTTCCAAACTCTGTTTCGCAAACATTCATCCCATCAAGTGCTGAGTGAGAGCGATGGTACACACAATCTGCTGTACTTTCTGTCTGAGCCTGAAGCCTGGTGACTGTCTCAAATCCTATTCTTGTTTACATAAAGGGAAAATTCC